TCCAAAACCTACACAGAGAACCCCTGTCTTGAAAAACCAAAAAAAAAAAAAAAAAGTCTACTCCCAGCATTTCCAACAACTGGATCCACAGCCCATGCTTGCAATCACAGCACTGGTGTGGTTGAGAGGAAAAGCATTGAGCTCAGGAATGAAACTAGCCTCCTGCATCGTCAGCATCTCAAAGGGGGAAGGGGTTTGGGGTTATACTTTGGGATTTTTGGACTAAGGAGATTCAACTACAGTTGTACTTTTTTGCAATTCACAACTCACATACTCAAAAATCAAAGTAAGCATTACTCTATGAAAGAATCCAAGAGGCTTGGGGAATATACTGCTCATCACCCTGCCTACAAACCCAGGAAGAAGATACTGGAACATTAGTCATCTGCCTAGCCATAAGTTTCCTTCAGGTCAATGGGGTATAGGTGCTGGACTGTGACATGGAAAGGGGTCCACTGTATATCCAGCCAAGTGATGGTGACAGTCAAACACCTAAAAGCCACTCTCTTGTGTGCCCTGCTAGCCACATATTAGTGTGAAAATCCACGAGGCCTCTCCTCACCTGGCTGTATGGTGTCCAAATTACAACCTCAGGGCTTGGCTTAGTTCTCCCAGCTATCCTTTCCATATTCAGTTTAGGATGGATTTTTTTTTTTTAATTAATTGAACACCTGTTATCATTCAACTTCAGAAAAAGTTTTTAATTCCTCTCATTCAAATACTAATCAGGCAAGTTCCAAGATCTGGCAAGTTCACAGCGTTATTATGGCTGTTAACTTGATGTCCTGCATCTTTAAAGTCACTTTGCAGTAAAGGCCCTTAGGGGTTTTGGGAGAGGCACCTCTCTAAGAATTGTGGATCTTGATAATAGTACTGTCTGTGGAATGTCCTTCAACTGTTTCCCTGAACAAACAAGTGAAGGACGGGAATTACTACAGAGCGCTATTGCCCCAACTAAAGCAGCCTTTCTCACCCTTGTTATCAGCAGCACTGTTTCAGAAACATCCTACACTGAGAACTTCCTCACCCTGCCCTGTGTGCAGTACACATCCATCTGCAAGTGTAGGTCTGTCTACCCGTAAGCTTTACATTTTAGCAATATCCCACAACACGGTAGTATTTCTCGATGAGTTCTGTGTCTCCCAGTAAGTGTGTAACAATATTACCTGGTGCCAGCGGTGGTTCATATTGCCCTCCCTTATTTGTAGTTACAACTCCAGTATCCAAAGCAAAGGGCTGTGCCATTCCTAAATCAACACAGGGATAATAAGCAGTGTTGAGTGTGTGCATTAGCACATTTCTCGAGACTCTAGTGATTTGACTTGTTCATAAAGGTAACATAGTCTGTGGGATGGCTCAGGGGTTATGGAGCTACCTGAAAGTGGATTTTGAACCCTGGAACCCACAGGAACAAATATGTTGTCCTTTGACCTATATAGAGTATGCAGGAGCATGAACATTCATTCACACACATGGGAGCATGCACGCACACAGATACACACTAAAAATGTAGTTTAAAATTTAGAAACAGTAAAACACAAGAAGATAGTGACAGCTACTCAAAATTCAACATTAACAAAACAAAGAATACAATTTGAAAACAGCCAAGACGTGGGATAGTTCCCTGAAGAAGACAAGGGTGGGACAAGGAAGGTCAAGGGTGTCATCCTACCCAGCTGGTGCCCTACTGTGGAATGTGACATGAAGTGCCCTGGATCTCCATGGGGCCACCACTGGATCCTTCTGTAAGATGTACTGTGAAAGCATTTGTCTACACCAGCAAGTGGTTCTGGTTCTGACCTCCTGTGCCCAGGTTGGATACACTTGGAGTGAGAACAGAAGCCTGGACAGTTGTCCCCAGGTCCTGCAGCTTCCCTGACATCCCTTGGCTTTTTATTGTAGACTGTTGAATTACTTCCAAGGTCAAGTTGTATTTACAGGGAGGGACGGATTAAAGTGAATTGATACCATCTTGTTCTAGCACCAAAAGTCTCTGTTTTCATATTTTTCTGTGGTGAACTGACAGCAATAATAGGTCCAGCCCTCGGCTATCTACCTCAGTCTGGGGTGAGTCAGTTGCATTCCAAGTATCACCACCCCAGCCCACACTGGGGTGTGCTAAAGCTTCCAAAGATTGCAGCTCCACAGATGTTAAGATTAAGAGACTGGAGGAAACTCTTCAGTTCAAGACTGCAACTTAAGAGGGGTGGAGACTTGGCCTGGAGAAATGGCTCAGCACTTGCTATAAGAGCAGGAGAACCTGGGTTCAGATCCCCAGCACCCATGGAACCGTCACCTCAGCATGGCAGAGCAGAAGACTGGCTGTCTCAGTTACTCTTCTGTTGGTGTGATCAACCACTATGACCAAGGCAACTTCCAGAAGAAAGAGTTTGTTTGGGGCTTACAGTTTTAGAGGGTTTGAGTCCATGACCATCACAGTGAGGAACATTGCAGCAGGCAGTAGCTGAGAGATCACATCTTGAGACACAAGCACAAGGCAGAGAGAGCTCATTGAGAATGGCATGGGCTTTTGAAACTTCAAACTTCTCCAGTGACTCCAAGAAGGCCGCAGCTGCTAATGATTCCCAGTTTCATCAACTGAGGACCAAGGAGTCAAACATTTGATCCTACAGTGGACCATTCTCATTCAAACCACCACACTGCTGGATCCTTAGGGATTGCTGGCCAGCCACTCTGGCCAATCAGAGAACTCTAGGTTTAATGACCGACTGTCTCAAAAAGCAAGGTGGAGAGTGAGAAAAGAAGACAACAAAGTCCACCTTGGGCCTAAGAGTGACTCACAATCACCTGCAGCTCCAGCTCCAGGGGTATCCTAAACAGCTAATCTCTGTGGACACTAGTTTTCACACGTACACACACACAAAATTAAAAATAAAATACATATTTTTTTAATGAAGTATGGGGCTGGAGAATGGCTCAGAGGTTAAGAGCACTGGCTGCTCTTCCAGAGGTCTTGAGTTCAATTCCCAGCAGTCACATAGTGGCTCACAATTATCTCCATATAGACAGATGGAGGCTCTTGGGACACCAGGTGGGTATGCATGCCTCTCTGTGCATTGATCTGCCATATGCATCCTGCATCCCAGGAATAGCACTTTCCTAAAGCCTCTGATCCCTCCAGACTCCTAGTTACACAGCTGTTTCCAAATTCCTCTAAAAGCCTTCACCCCATGGATCTCCACCTCCTCTGTTTATCCATACAAAGTAATGCATGCATAAGCTGTGACACTGAGCATTGTCATTCCCTCTGAGTGTGATCATCCCTCCTACTGGCATCTTGGAGCAAAGAGTACCTTGGCCTGGTTCTAAGGTTCTCTCTCTCTCTCTCTCTCTCTCTCTCTCTCTCTCTCTCTCTCT